AAGTTAATTTAGAAATCTTGTCGACTCAGAATGATGGCAAACAATTCTTCAACGATATATTCATTCGATCGATGTTTTTTTCGGTTATATTTAAGAGCCACCCTAGTATATCGATTTTATGTTGATTTAGGACGCTAAAAATTTTTAATGATACCGTCATTGTGTTCAAAATCACATGATATTTACAATGAGAAAAACATAATACAAATTTTAGAACCACCCTAGAATATTAAATTTAAGAAATTATTTTGAACGCAAAACTTGGAATCCGGAGCATCAAATTACTTAAAAAGTTTAAAGATCACAGTTTTAATAATAAAAAAAAAATATTACGATCTGCAAATATGCATCTCACATCCCCCAAATCGCGATTAGAGCCATAATTAAGGAGATAAATCGAGTTAAAGGTTCAGGAAGCCCACCGGCCGACAAATAAAGGTTTATGAATTATTTTCTACTGGGAAATTTGGATATGAAAATTTCGAGCATCTGAACACCCTCCAAATCGCGATTAGAGCCATAATTAAGGAGATAAATCGATTTTAAGGTTTGCGAAGCCCACCGGGCGACAAATGAAGGTTTATGAAATATTTTATACTGGGAAATTTGGGTGTGAAAATTTCGAGCATTTGAACACCCCCCAAATAGCTATTAGAGCCATAATTAAGGAGATAAATCGATTTATAGGTTTGGGAAGCCCTCCGGCCGACAAATAAAGGTTTTTGAAATATTTTATGCTGGGAAATTTTGGGTATGAAAATTTCGAGCATCTGAACACCCCCCAAATAGCGATTAGAGCCATAATTAAGGAGATAAATCGATTTTAAGGTTTGGGAAGCCCACCGGTCGACAAATAAGAGTTTTTGAAATATGTTCTACTGGGAAATTTGGATATGCAAATTTCGAGCATCTGAACACCCTCCAAATCGCGATTAGAGCCATATTTAAGGAGATAAATCGATTTAAAGGTTTGGGAAGCCCTCCGGCCGACAAATAAAGGTTTTTGAAATATTTTATGCTGGGAAATTTTGGGTATGAAAATTTCGAGCATCTGAACACCCCCCAAATAGCGATTAGAGCCATAATTAAGGAGATAAATCGATTTTAAGGTTTGGGAAGCCCACCGGTCGACAAATAAGAGTTTTTGAAATATGTTCTACTGGGAAATTTGGATATGCAAATTTCGAGCATCTGAACACCCTCCAAATCGCGATTAGAGCCATAATTAAGGAGATAAATCGATTTATAGGTTTGGGAAGCCCACAGGCCGACAAATAAAGGTTTTTGAAATATTTTATGCTCGGAAATTTGAGTATGACACTTTCGAGCATCTGAACACCCTCCAAATCGCGATTAGAGCCATAATTAAGGAGATAAATCGATTCAAAGGTTTGGGAAGCCCACAGGCCGACAAATAAAGGTTTTTGACATATTTTATACTGGGTAATTTGGGTATGAAAATTTCGAGCATCTGAACACCCCCCAAATCGCGATTAGAGCCATAATTAAAGAGATAAATCGATTTAAAGGTTTGGGAAGCCCACAGGCTGGCAAATAAAGGTTTATGAAATATTTTATACTCGGAAATTTGGGTATGACAATTTCGAGCATCTGAACAACCCCCAAATCGCGATTTGAGCCATAATTAAGGAGATAAATCGATTTTAAGGTTTGGGAAGCCCACCGGGCGACAAATGAAGGTTTATGAAATATTTTATACTGGGAAATTTGGGTGTGAAAATTTCGAGCATTTGAACACCCCCCAAATCGCGATTAGAGGATAACTCGATTTAAAGGTCGCTGGCTTACAGGCGTCAACCATACCTACTGACATACTTATGCCACTTTGCTGTGTGTGGCAAAAGGTATGATCATTTACTATAAGCAGGTCAAATTCAAGTTAAATAATAAACAACCAGAAGAGTATTATGCAGCAAATGTAAACTACAAATGGTGTCAGAAAAATATACCTCTCATTTTCAAGTGCAGTTAACACAATTCTATTTTAGTGTCATATTTGTAATCAGTGCATTGCTGATTTGTAGAGTAATGTTAAGTTAAGATCGGCTAACTTATTGAGATTGAATTATGGGCATACAATTCGATTTATGCACTACTAATCAACTACATATTCAACCTGATGTTAATCAGCTTTGGACACTTTAAATCAACCAATAATCAGCTACTATTCTTACTGTTCAGCTTGACTTGTTACTTGGGAATGACTGCCCTGCGAAGGGAGATCCTAAAATATTTAAATGTGCAAATTGTGGTGAAAGCCACAAGGCCAATTTTTGGGATTGTCGGACTCGCAAAGCGATCCTACAACCTCGTTCTAAGCGACAGGTGGGAAACGCTCCACGTTCCCTACCAGGTACTAATTCCTTTGCTGTTAACAACGGTCAGTGAGGAACAAATTCTGCATTCGTATCCGTAGATGCAAACATCTACCCTGCTTCAAATTCTTCATCTATAACTGCTCCCATCACTGCTAACAATGTTCAGTGAGTAAATGAAGCTACCTATGCTGCTAATGCAACGGGTATAAATCAAAATACTAGCCAACATAATTCTAGCGGAAATTTGTTGTGGTGGTGAATAGCTGAGAGTCATTGATGAAAAAGACTATGATTGGTGTTTACATTCCATGTTTAGTGTTCAAGATGGCGACGAATGAAAAACACGTACGCGCGTGGATTTTGAACGGACGTTATGCAAATCCTGACTTGTCAATACGGGAACTTGCAAAAAATGGATTTACCTAAATCCACTGGTCAAGGCGCGCTCAAATCACTTTCGGAACGTTCGACGGCCGAGAGGAAACCGAGAAATGATAAAAGCATTGGACGTGCTGATCCTGTCATGGACCGAAAGGTGAAGAGGATATTGAAGGAAAAGCCGAATATCTGGTTCGAACGGTGGCTCGTAAAATAGGAATGTCACCTGGTTTTGGCCAAAACTCAAAACAGCGTTTAGGGTTGAAGTTGTTTAAAGTAGAAACAGTTCCAAATTGAAACGACAAACAGAATTCGACGGTAAAATCACGGGCTCGACGCTTGAAGACGAAGTTTTCATGCGTTGTTATGGACGATGAAACTTATGTCCTAGAGGATTTCAAGTAGCTTCCGGGACTGGCTTTCTATTCTGTTATGGCCAAAAATGCTACAGCTGAGTATTTCAGGATGAAGAAGGAATCGAAATTTCCCAAAAAATAGCTTATTTGGCAAGCAATTTGCACATGCGGCCGAAAGAGTAAAACTTTCGTCACTACAGGCACAAGCAACAAGGAGATTTACCAGAAGGATTGCCTGCAGAAGCGATTGCTTCCCTTCAGCAAAAGCCACAAAGAAAACCCTTTGTTCTGGCCCGATTTGACATCATGCCATTATGACTAAAACTGCGAACGAAGCAAATCAAGTGAATATTGTCCAGAGTTACGTCTAATCGAGAGATATTGGGCTCTGATGAAGCGGAAGCTTTCTGGAAAGAAATAAGAAATCAAAGATATCAAACACTTCCAACAAATTTGGACAAAGACGGCCACCCCGGGATCTGCGGAGTCTAAGCAAACCCTAATGGATGGAGTTAAGCGCAAAGCTGGAAAATGTTATGCAAATACCGTATAACTATGTTTTGACTTCGTGAATTTTTAAATCGTATCCCATGAATTTGAAATAAACAACTGCAATTGAAATATAATGCGGAATTTGTGCTTTACTTAAGTTCTGATGTGTCCGGATTATTGTGGATACAGACATAACAATTCAAAATTGTACACTTGAAAATAACACAATCGAAAATTAAGCTGTTGAAAATTGGACAGCATCAACTCGACCAGATAAAACTTTGCAATTAATTTTAAAAGTTATGAAATTAACAGCTGAAAACGAACCGTTAATAACTAAGCAGTTGTATTGAACAGTTCAAAAATTGATCACGTTAAAATTAATTACAGCTTTACAGTGCCTGAAGAGGTTCTTCTCCGGAAATCGGTTCCTAAGCGACGTGATTGGAATCGAAATTTCCTAGGCACTTTCCATTTCTAATATCGCTTCATTCTGGGGAGTGGGCATGCTCTGTCAGAAAATAGAAGCTTCCCTGAAGGTGGAAATAGACGTCTAGACGATGTTATTCGATGGAAGGTGAGACATTGAGCAGCATGTAATAGGATGCCTCATGGAAGCCTTCAGGAAGGGAGAATTCGATTTGTCCGTCTCCATCTCCAAAACATTAACATCACAGCAGGTTGAACATTCTTGGGGCAGGTTCGATTGTAATTTCCTCAACGGTAGTATGTCAAAAAGGTACAGCGCCCATTCCCCCAGGTACCAATGTTACGACGACGACGACGACGACGACGACGATGTAATTGAATTCGGTGAAGAGGTACATCAGAAGACGATCGGAATTTTCATTCACTCCTTGGACTTGGTCGGACAGAAAAAAATGTGTTGGCGATTACGAGAAAGATGAAACTTTTTGAGTTTTACAACGCCATCAATGTAGCATCACATTCCATCTATCATTTATTCACAGCCATGAATGAACTTCTGGTGCGGTCATAAATATTTTGATCACAGGCAGGGCAATCGAAGCAGCGAATGAAGCGAGTTTATTATTCCAGGAGGAGAGAGTTTCCAATTGAATGTTGATTCATCAAGGCAGGTTTTTGCGGCTGGGTCCCCCTGCTATTTCTCGGCTGTCCTCCAACCAATTGATAGATATATATGGTTGGCACTAATCACGTACAAAAACAGCTCAATTAGTTGGAGAAATAGCGGTGGGTGGGGAATTCCTGGTCAATGATCACATAAGAGAAGTTCTATAACCTTTGAAACTTTCCAAGGAGTGCAAACTTTCATTCATCATTCATTCACCACACAAAAATCATCCCAACTTGGCTTCTATCACAACACTTTGTTTCTTAAACGAAACCACCCATTGCTCATGAATACCCACAGGTTAGATTTTTCTGACTTCTTTTTTCTCCATCTCCTCAGGAATAACATCCATCACAACGCTGACGGTGCTGTCGTACGAACGGTTCTGCCTGATCAGCTTTCCATTCTCGTCGCGGCACCTGTCCCGGCGGGGAGCCTTTTTCGCCATCTTGTTCATTTGGAGCTACTCGTTTGCCTTAACCTCGCCCCCGCTGTTCGGATGGGGGGCGTACGTCCACGAGGCAGCTAACATCAGGTGAGTAAGGGGAGCTCGGGGAAATCGTTGCGGGCTGGGTGCGGTAGTAGTAATAAAGTAGCTCTTTATTTCCATTGATTACATTCCAAGTGAGCTGAAATTCGGCCATCGATATTTTTCAACAGAACACAACTCGAAAACGTCACATCCAATCGAAATGATGTCCGAGACAAAGTCGTATGGGAAAACTAGAAATACTCAGAGGGAGAGATGGGCGGAGATAATGTTTTGAGCCAAATTAACTGCCAAAATCTGAGCCAATCGAACATTCCCATTAGATTTTGTCCGATGATTTGTTATTCTTATTAGATTAAATTTAAGAGTATTGCAATCGAACAGAAATTCAATCACCTTTATGTTTCGTGTGTTTCTCAAATTAACCTAGTTTTTTTTAAATCAAAAACAATATTCTAACTGTATTGATTAATTGATCTTAGTTGGTTAATTAATGGCACCAAGAAATGTGCAAATTATTGCGATGCAATCAATTATTATTTTGCACGTAAATCGAATCATCGAAATAAAAGTCATGTGAAAAGCTGGCTTCTAGCAAGGATTGCAAGATAATTTAGGTACAAATTTCTACTGCCGAATTGTATTTTGCTTTCTCTGTTTTCCCTCTGAGTATTTCTAGGGAAAACTAATTCCATTGCAAGAAAAATGAACATGGTAACAAATCCAAAACAGCGTTCAAAACTTGATTGGTTGAATTTGGACAGTTGAAAATTAAAAAAAAATCGTTTAATAGCAACTTTTGGACATATTTTTAAACTTCTTGTTTAAACACTTTTTTGGGAAATTTTGCTCATAAAACTATTGTTTTGTACGGGGATGAATCACGGGCGAAAATTTGGAGTTTGCACTTAATTGATACGGCGCGGTTACTTTACCAAAAAAAAAACCAATTTATTCACTTTTAAAACTAATTACTTTATTGCTAATAATTTCACTATCGAATAACTTTTCTAGCTATGGGTGATGGCTCATGTGGCAATTTTGGAAAAAGGAAAACTTATAGAGTGATAACGGAACAAATGAAACGAGCTACACAAATGCGTTTTCATTCTAATCAATGCACTGTGTTTCTGAAGCCAAAGGATGCATTGGAGATGGATTCCAATTTGAATTTAAATTGTTTAGCTCCAAAGTGATCTAAACCTAACATAGACCGGCCACCGAAATGAATATTTCGCTGAGAATTACTGGTAATGCATAATACAAATTCAATTACATCAAGTTTGAGTCAAGCTGCTGATCTGCTTTCTCCGTGACGTCTCCTTCGATGTCGTCCTCCATCATCGAGGGCAGTAGGCATAGCTTCGAAGTAGGTCGCTTGAAGACTCCAGCTACAGTACGTACAGTTGCAACACGCACCACGTCGTCTTGTCCTGAGTGAAGTTCCATAATGCGAGCCAAAGGCCAGCGTAACGGTGGAAGCTGATGATCTTGCAATATGACTACTTGGCCAACTTGGAAGTCGACTTTTCGTGGGTTTATTGCAGTTTGACGTTGCAACTCCTTGAGGTACTGGGTCCTCCATCGGTACCAAAAATGCTGCACTTTCTGCTGAGCTAGCTGGTAACGGTCCCATCGGAATCTCTCTCAAATCTCAAATCTGACTTTAGATGTGGATTGGGGGTCTTCCAACTTGCTAGAACAGGCGAGTACATAATTAATAGCGCAAATACGATGTCTGATGCCGATCCAAATTTCAGCACCTTGAATGCCGCCGAATCAACTCTCGTACCTCGGAGCCCGGAACGCGCCGTGGAAGCCCCTAATCCCTCCTTCTCAGTCCAGCCATTTGCTGCCGCCGCTCACCATAGTCGTTCCGGACCTGTAGTCGGATGTGGAGAGGGGGTCTTCCAACCCAGTCACTATGGCGAGTATCCGCATGGTATTGTTAATGTTCATTCGCTGCCTGATGCTTCCGTGATTTCTAGGGAGAACAGACGTTCGATTGTAAGCCGCAAGCAGGACATCGTGATTTTCTTCCAAAACGCCGGCGGAATGAATTCTGATGTTGACGACTACCGGCTTGCTGTATCGGATCGTTGCTATGATGTGATTGTCCTATGCGAGACGTGGCTCGATTCGCGAACGCTTTCCAGCCAGGTGTTCGGATCCGATTATGAGGTTTTTCGTTGCGATCGGAATCCAAACAACAGCCGAAAATCTACTGGTGGTGGCGTTCTTGTGGCTGTCCGTTCCGGATTGGAGGCGAGAGCAATCGAAAATGAATCGTGGAACAGTGTGGAACAGGTTTGGACAGCCATTAAACTGGGCGATCGCACATTATTTTTGTGCGCATTGTACATGCCTCCAGATCGAGTTCGTGATCTTGAACTCATCGAGACTCACTGTCAATCAGTCTTCACAGTAATGGAAAGAGCGACTCCAATTGATGAGCTATTCATTTTTGGGGACTTTAACCTAGCAGGCGTTTCGTGGAGACCATCCCATAACGGCTTCCTCTATCCAGATCCAGAACGTTCTGTATTTCATGCAGGAGCTATCGGCCTTCTCGATAACTATAGCGTAGCAACGCTTTCTCAAATTAACCACGTAGTCAACGAGAACAACCGTAGTTTGGACCTCTGCTTCGTGAGCACTCAGGACAATGCTCCGTTCATATCCACAGCACCTTGTCAACTAGTTAAGCTTGTTCCGCACCACCCTCCTCTGATTGTCACTGTTGAGGACAATCTCGTTCGTGATTTCGACAGTCTTCCTGCTGCGGTTTCTTATGACTTTCGAAAGGCCGACCATCGAAGCATTGTAGATGTGTTGTCAAACATGGACTGGGAGAACATTCTCGATCATGACGACGTTGAGGCCGCTGCGCAAACTTTTTCTCATGTTTTGGCATATGTCATTGACAGACACGTCCCGAAAAGAATTCAACGCAAAGACTCTCACCCTCCCTGGCAGACGATTGAGCTGCGTAGGTTGAAGTCGACCAAGAGAGCAGCATTGAGAAGATTTACGGAGTATCGCACGCTTCCTCTGAAACATCACTACGTGAGGCTTAATCACGAGTATCAGCGAGCCAGTCGTCGATGCTTTCTGCGATTTCAACGAGGAATTAAGCGTAACCTTAAACTACACCCGAAATCCTTCTGGAACCACGTGAACGAGCAACGCAGAGAATCTGGCCTCCCATCGTCAATGGAATTGAACAGTGAAGTCGCTTCCACTCCGCAGGATATTTGTCGCTTTTTTTCTGTCAATTTTGCCAGTGTGTTCACTGATGAGAGACTAAGTGACGACCATGTTTCCCTCGCAGCCAGGAACATCCCACTAAATGGTCAAACGCTGAGTGCAATAGATGTCAACGTTGAGATGATTTCTAACGCTGCAACGCAGCTCAAATCGTCCTTCAACCCTGGACCCGATGGAGTTCCGTCCGTGTTTTTGAAGAAACATATTGCTTGCTTGTTAACTCCACTTCACCGTCTATTCCGTATGTCTCTCTCCAGTGGTATATTTCCATCCTTCTGGAAATGTGCACACATGTTTCCTGTCCACAAAAAGGGAAGCAAACGAGCCGCGGATAACTATCGTGGAATTACACTGGAGTCGCTTTTTACGCGGTTTTTTTTTACACGGTTTTTTTTTACGCGGTTTTTTTTTACGCGGATTTCGGAATTTACGCGGTTTTTTTTTACGCGGATTCCGGAATTTACGCGGTTTTTTTTTACGCGGATTTTGGTTTTTTTTTACGCGGATTTCAGAATTTACGCGGTATATCGCTTTTTACGCGGTTTTTTCTTACACGGTCTTTTTTTACTCGGTTTTTTTTTACGCGGATTTCGGAATTTACGCGGTTTTTTTTTACGCGGATTCCAGAATTTACGCGGTTTTTTTTTACGCGGGACATATCACCCGCGTAAAAAGCGACTCCAGTGTACATCGCTGAGTGCTGTTTCGAAACTATTCGAGCTTGTTATTATGGAACCGTTGCTCCCTCACAGCAAGCAGTATCTGAGTGCTGATCAACACGGGTTTACTGGTGGTCACTCTACAACCACCAATCTGCTATGCCTCACATCCTACATTACCGATAGTATGACTGAACGGGTACAGACGGACGTTATATATACCCCAAGTAACAATTTCCAGTTGAAGAAACGCTTTCGTTTTGATTTTGTTCAGCTGCAAGTTGAATAATAATTGCACAATGTGTTCACCACAACTTTTATAAAACCCTTGTTTACACTGGTTTGGAGAACCTATACAACTGCAACACAAAGGTGTTGTCTAACGTATTCAGTAAAACGTTTACCCAAAATCAATTTCTTGTTGAAGAAACGCTTCCATTGTGATTTTATTCAACTGCATGCTGAATAATAACTGTACAATTTGTTTATTACAACTTCTGTAAAACTCTTTTTTACACTGGTTTGGAGAACCTGTTCAACTACAGCATTATATGTATACGCGGTATAGGAGTAGAAGCAACTTTTATACAACGTTTATAGATACATATTTAAACTCAAGCTTTATTATTTTGGTGAAAGCTCTTATACATCGTTTGTAGATACTTCTTGACAGCTGCTTTGAAATTTAGTAGAGAGTGAACCTGAGAGGCGTTTGTTGCACTCTTTTATGACTCTTAAATAATCATTGTACAGCAAGCGGTGAAAAGCGTTTATAGCACTTTTTAATGACTCCTTAATAACCGTTGTGTAAGGACTCACAATATTCACAGATTAAAATTAATTAAAATTATTGCTTGTACAGTTTTTATTAATTTAATTTATTTGAGCACATTGAAAAAATATGTAATTATGCCATAATTCACATTCTGTGATCATGGAGGAAGTAGTAACAAGCATCGGTTTAATCTTTGATTGATATTCTTTCAATTAATTTCTCTAATAATTAGTTGAGAGAATTTATCTAGAAATGTTATCGTTGATTATATGATATATGTCTTAAATTAATGTTTGCATTTATTAATAAACACCTATATATATAATTTACCTCTACTCCACCGA